TCAATAAGCATTTGCAAAGTTTTGAATAAAATCATACATAAATAAAAGAGAAATTTAGTTATCAGCCAAATCCAAACTTTTTATTAACTTATCACGCCACGTTCATTTCAAAGGAAAAAATTAGAAATCAAACAATAACCTTTTTCATATACTAAAACACAAATGATACAATATTTTTGTACTATAGTAGTTTGAATAATGTACATGAGTTACACGTGTTTTCAATTTGAGAATAAATTTATCATTAATTGAGAAATCTACTACTATCAAATGGCTCAACTGTGAAGTTAGTTGATTTGTACATCATCAAATAGAGAATTGAGTTGAAAACAAATCCATTTTTATCATATGCAATGATAAAATAGTAAGTTTCAGGTGTACATAATGATCTATAGTGGTATCGTAGAGTTCAGTTCTATCGGTGACAAGATCGATCACATCTTAATTTCAAATGGTTTTGTTAGTGTGAGATATCAAAGTTGCAAAATATGTTTAAGAGTACATAATGATGTACAGTGGTATCTTTTGACTTTAATTATATGCGCGTCAAGATGGACATTATTTGAATGATGGGCAAGGGTTATGTGTATCAATCAGAAGATAAATTTGTCATTTATTGGATAGTCTACTACCACCAGAATGTTCAACATCTAAGTTAGTTGAGTTATACATTCATCAAAGGAGAAATAAGTTGAAATAACTCTGATTCGATCATTACATATGCTAATTTAAAATCATGTGAGTGAATTTTTTCACAAGGCTGAAAAATGTACTAGATGCTCACAATATTTGGCTCAAACATATAGATGCACGAAATGCAAAATCAATAAAAATTTATGTACAAATACAACATATGATGTTGAAAACTGATGGCCAATCAAAGAGAAGATGATCGTGAATATAATCTTCAAAATAGTGATTAAGTTATTGACTCACCACGGATACAACGTGAATTAAATCCCGACTAGAGCTCAAGCATAAACTCTATCCGGGTGCAGTATAGGGCAAGTATGTTTTAATTGTCAAACCTGTGTCAGTCCATATACCCCTACTTCAATCACTTAGGTTATAATCTAGCAAACAGTTTTGGGTTTAAAACTAAGAAAACTACAAAATACACAAATAAGGGAAGTAATCGAGGGGAATTATATATGAGAGGACTTCACTTGGGTATTGCTTCCCCTAGTCTCTTATTAAGAAAGCGTGAACGAAACTCTATAGTGAAGGATGTGTGCATATACCGTTAGGAGGGTGCAACTAGCTGGGGCAAACTCTCCTAGTCGATCGATTAAGGCTTGTGACAAGAAGCTAGACAATCTAGCTCTCTTAACCGACCAACTGAATAAACCCTAGCTCTCTTAGTTGACCAATTTAGGATTGTTGCATCAAGTTAGTAGTCTAATTCTCTTAACCTTTCGGTTAAGGATGACAACAATCGACTAGACAATCTAGCGCCTCGAAAACGGTCGACTAAGGATTGCAAACCAATCCCTCGGAACTTAAGTCGGACGGCAGAGTGAAACCAATCATGGTACTACTCTGATACTGGAGGTTTTGGCTCTACATTAACCTAGAAGGGGTTACCCGAGAGGCTAGGAGGTCAATTTCCCTATGGGCCGAAGGGGGATTTCCACCTTCTAGGTTAATTTGGCCCAGCAATGATATAGTGCAAGCAACACACACTAATCATGATTAATTTAAGGTTTATCCTAATTTTCCTAGGTGGGTGACACAAATTGGTCAAGGATCCAACTTCTCAAAGCCTCTTTTAACATGGAGATTCTCTCCACCTAGGTCAAAATAAGCCAATCATGAGTTAATGCTAGCACTGTTACATCCCGACATTTGAAGTCTAGGTTCGACCGAACATTTTGATTGACGATTACGTACGAAGGGTTCGACCATAGATTAGAGATAATAGTAATAATAACTATTATTATTATTATCATCATAAAAATTATCACTCATCACTCACCACACGTTTTTCCCTCCCATGGCAAACTATTATTATAATCACTATTATCACCATAATTTTTTAAAACCCCCCAACTGGATGTATTCCCCCATAGCAATCCGTTACTTCATTAAACCCCTCCTCCACCGTAAACTATAGTAAGCAAAGAGAACCGAAGGAAAGGAAGATAGAAAGGAAAAAGGAATAAAATCCTCCGTCGTGGTCATCACCATTCCACCGCAAGAGGAGCTTCCAGCAACCAAGCCTTCTTGCGAGAGCAAACGAGCAGTAGCAGCGCCAACCAGTACCCCCGTCGCGGAAGCCCAACGTCAACGTCGTCATCGACAAAAGCGTTCTTCATATGGAACTGTAGCGCTTCGACGGCGGTCCCGACGTCGGACGAGGAAGATACGAGCCTCTAAAGCTTGAGACGTGAATCGGATAGTTCAGGTACCATTACTGTCTATTCAAAAAGTATAAGGACCTAGAGGGTAATTTCATTTCTGTCTGTGAGAAAATGTCCATGTTAGTTCCCCATATTTTCAGTAAGAGCAGCTTAGTCCCCCAGAGTTTTAAACTTTCTATATTCGATCGAAAATGGGATTTTCTCTAGATTATTATTATTTTTGTTGCCGTACAATGGGTATTCTAGTAGTATGATAATTTTATAAATAAGAACAAATCAATAAGGTGTTTGGATATTAATTCAAGAATTTTCGGAGCTGTTGTCCTAATTATAAAAATTTATGGGAAGACTATTTTAGTTAAATAAAATAGTATGCGAATGTTTTTACTAGATTTGATAATTTTAGTATAAGATATATAAATGTATGTTTGTTCATAAATTATTTGGTAATTTTTATACTGGACTCGCTACTTATAAAAATTCAGATGGTGTCGGTTTTAAATTATTAAATTGTTGTAAGAATATTTCTATTACATTTTTAATTTTAGGTGAAACTAGAGTATATCATCTACGTTAGAAAAGTGAATACCAGAATTTTAGGCATTTGTAGCATAGGCTCAAAAATTAGTTATGTTAAATTAAATAAGAAGAAGGGGTTAATTAAGGTGTAAATTATAGTTAATGATTTTGGTTTATGTTTTAAGTTATTAGAAGTCAGAATTTGTAGTTTGAGGGGTAATGGATTTCTTTTGGAAAGTTCATGAGAATTTTTAGGAGATTTATGCAAGAGATTATTTAATTAGTTAGGATGAGTTAAGACCTTTTTAAAGAATTATGGGACTAAGCTAGGAGAATGGAAAGTTTTGGGGAATAGCGACTAAGGGAAATTTAATCTCGATTTATAGGATCAAGGAGGCGATCAAATTAAGGGACCCCACGTCAAAGGAAGTAAAGTATCGGCACTTGAGAGGTGAGTGTAAAGGGGGTAAAATCTCCGTCGAGGTCTTTTAGTTTATGCCTTTTTAATTCAGTTATGTTATTTAATTTTCAAGTAAGCGCGATTATGTGTGTGAGGCATCCCACCGCCTACTTAAGGTGGAGGCACGCGTTGTGCTATGTATGTGTGTTTTTATGATGTATGGATGATGATAGTTGAACCCCCGGGCGGTTGGGCCACTACTGGACACGGTAGATGGTCGGGTCACTACTGGACGGCGATACGTAACGCAGTAGTTGACCGGGCATGGACTGGACGGCGATACGTAAAGCAGTACCATTTCCTTAAGGATAGGCACACCGGACGACGATACGTAATGCGGTGAACACTAATAATAAGTATATAAATTAAGATAGAAGTACAGAACTTCTATAAGCTATCAGAGACTAAAATATTAAGGATGAAAGCGAGAAAGACTTTCATGTAGGAGGAAGTAATTTCTAATAATGTGTTAGTAGGGCTTGCTTAGGCAAAGACCTTAGAAAGTAACGACGAGACTGACCCCTTCTCACTCACCAGGTGTTGAAAGGGGAAGAGGACATAACCAGCACCAGGAGATAAATCAAGGAGGGCAGCCGCGTCAAGCTTGAAGATGTCGGAAGGATCAGGGTATTGAGATGGGATCCTTTTTATCATATTTGTCTTTATTTCTTGTCCTATGAGTATACTGGGAAACTCAGGTTTTCTGTTAAGTGTTGGATTGAGATTTGCCCAACTGTTTAGGGTTTTTCGTTTGAGATTTTTGGGTTATTGTCGTTGGTTGATTTTTATTTTTTGTTTGACTTAAAAAACATGGTTTGGGTTGCCCCGGAGTAACCGGCTTTTATTTTAAAGTTTTGGTTTGATTTGTCCAAAAAGATCGGGTTGTTTCAAGCACATTCAATCATTCATGAAAAATACCTCAAATATTATTCAATTAACACACATGGAGTCATATTTTTACATCCTAACACACATATAGGCTGGGATTCACAATACGTAAGTGAGTAGGGAGTCTATTCCATAACTAGGCAAAGGAAAACAAGAAAAAGGAGAGAAAGAACCATGAAGAGATGCCAATCTTACTTTCTCTCTCTAGAATGGGAAGACGAAACCCTAATCTCTTACTAGAAATCCTCCATTATTCTGAAAACTAAAACCCTAGAAAAAGCTCTCCTTCTTTCTCCTTTCAGCTCTCTATTTATACCCAGTCGCGCCCAGTTCACAGTCCCAGTTCATGGCCGTGAACTAATGGCAGGGACCGTGAACTCCGGCCAAGACGCGCTGTTTCATTAAGTCAGTTCGCAGTCCATGGCTTCAGTTCACGATCTTGTGACCGTGAACTGACTTGGCATCAGTAATGTCACATCCGCTCCTTCTTAAACTGTTTAATTAAGTGTATGTGTAAGGATTTAAAAATGTGCCATTGTTGATTAACTAGTGCCCAGTTATGGTGACTAAAATATTTCGAGACTAGTTATTTACTTAAGATTACAAATAATAGGGAACTCATCCTAATAAATTACGACCAAAATAGAAATTATATTGCTAGGGTACCGTCTCCCTAGACTATATCAACCTGCATTTGAATTTGGTTAAGTATAAGGGGTATAGTAAAATCGTCAATTTCTTTTGGTTAAGGTAAACCGAATAAATTCTACTAAGTCAAAGGAAGTGAGTTAATATGTTGGGTCTTCCATCTGCTTTTGGAGACACGCACCAGCCTCACTTCCCAAACTAAAGTGAATGGCAACACGTACCCACCACTTCTACACCACTGCCACAGTCCATTAAATGAGTTAGGAGGGGATTCTTAAATAGATTTGCCTAGGGGAGAAGATTGCCATGTATCCGTATCCATATCCATCCTTTCTCTTGGAGCGTAGAGGTAGAGAGAGAGAGAGAGAGAGAGAAGCTTCTCATAATCTCCCTCTCCCTATCGCTATCTTGGGTAACTGTTCTTGGGGTCATCTGCATCAGTAGAATGGATTAGAAGCTGTGGTGGTTATTAAACGCATACTACTAACTAGTAAAGGTAAGTCCCTCTTTCTTTTGTGATAGAACAAGTCAGACGGAAAGGAAGTAGTTAGTTGGCGGTGGCAATTTGGGTTCCGCCAAGTCCCTCTGTGATGGAATGATCATGATGCTTTAGAATTGGCTCAAGATAGGGTGCATAACCATGGTTATGCACCCATCAATAACCAAATCTAGACCCTTCATTTAGAAAATCCAGATCTAAGGATGGAGAATTAAAGATCATTTTTATTTTTCCTAACGTTCTTAATCAGCTCATATCTTCTTCGTTTTAACTCGAATTTTAATTTTTTTTGCACAGATGGAACGAGTTCATCGTGCTCTACAAAATGATATATATTTTTAGTATTTTTTGAGAAAAAAATTCTTTCCTCTCGATACCAACTGCATACCATATGGTATCTTTTCGTTTTTAATTCGTTTTTGAAAACGTTTGCACAGAAGGGACGAGTTCATCATGATCTATTGGATCTACAAATTTCTAGGTGAACAAATTACAGGACCAAAAAATATCACACAATATCACTCTGGTACGCGGTGGTATCTTATGGTACACAATGTTAAAATTCGTAAATAACAATTAATATACTTCTACTATCATGTATTCAATCATCCTACAGTCTTGGTTTGTTCATACCACCATGGTACGTTTTTCAAACCATAGGTATGCTCTTATTTCAATACCAGTCAATACCATATGGTATAGACTAGTGAAAAATGGCTCAATTTTTTTTGTTCGAAAAATATATCAAAGTGGATATTATTTTGAAGAGCATAATTAATCTGATCTAATTGTGCAAAAAAAAAAATTAAATTTCGACTTAAAACGAGTGAGAAATCGTCCGTCAAAGATTAAGAAGGGGAAAATTAAAGGCTTTCCATGAGAGAGAGGGATGCTAATGTCATGCTGATGTGGACGGGTTACTCACCATAATGTTACTCACCTGATCTGTTCCCTTTAGAATTATAGGTGAGGGAATTATATGTCCAAATTTTGTCATGCATAGTGGTTATATATGTGAATACCAGTACACTCGTTCAGGACAGGGGTCAAGCAACTAATTGGGTAATTAAAATATCATGGATTTAAGGCTAGTGAGTTGTGTATGCGTGTGATAATGGTATATATATGCATGGATTTTTAATGGGGTTCTCTGGAAAGAGTTAGTGTACAACAATACAGGGTGTCAACAGTATCATTTATAGCTGAAAAGTAAAACTGCAAGCCCCATTCAAATTTCCCTGCCCGTAGAGCGAATGTAGGAGTCTGACGTGGCAGAGCATTTAGGTGGGATTAATGTAAATATTTCGCCGACTGCAACCGTCGTTCTTCCTCTGCGTTTTTCTTTGGAACGTTCCTCCTTCCTCTTTCTATGTTCTTCTTGCATCTGAAAGCACCGAAATAGCCTCAAACTGCCTCCAATCTCCCCGCATCTGCTTCTAACGCACGTGTACCCAACACCCAATGCCGACAAAAAAATCCCCAATTTCAAACAATTGATAACCGAAATCCCTAATTATAAGTGTTGGGTGCTAGCGAAAAAGTAGTGGGTTTAGGATCGAAATTTCAGAGGATTTTATTACACCGAATATTTTTACAAGTGTTCACTCTCACACTTTAGGCAGTATTGCCATATACCTCACCAAGAGCTTATGCTCTTCTACTCTCTCAATGCTCTTTTAATTTTCTTCCTTCACTCTCTCTACTTTGCTTCTTGCTATTTCTCACCTCACTACAGCTCATACCACCATCACTTATTTATACATGTTCATTACCGCCATAGGAAAGATCTAGGGACAGCATTAATTGATTTGGTAGGACCGACTTGCTTGAGATAATCTTCATCCATTATCTGCGGCAAACCTTGTCCATTGTATTAATTATAGGTCCAGCTGTTAGAGATTGATGTGACCAACTTAGAGCTGCGGTTGTGCTTGGATCCATGTAATAATTATATGTTTATCTCTTTGCTGACTTAGAATTGCAGCATACCATGTCCTCTTTTGCTTCAGGTTTTTCACGTGCAACATTTGGGCAAGTCCACAAGATTCTAGAATTGCAAATTATATTTGACAATAAGAAAGTCGACGGTGCCACTCGCTAACGGAAGTCCTTGGGAGTGGGGAGATCGCACATGGGAGTGCAAGCGGCCGATCTCGTCGGCGAAGAGGTTGTCGACGTGCGAGGCTTTGATCTCCGCCGACAAGCACAACTCATTGGCAGCTGGCAGACTGGGTACCTTCGAACCCAATTGGCCGCTCTGTTTGAACACCCACCACCTGCCATTTCTAATTTCGGCACTATTCTTGAGCCAAAGTCATTGTCGCATTCTACGATGTCATCAATACCAAACGTCAGGTAAACTTTTCTATTCTGAGCCTTTCGTTCGTATTCTTCTTTCCCAATTTCATTTGACGGACTACTAGTGATGGCTTTACCGCTTTTTATAATTCTATTTAAAAACAAAATCTTCACACATAGAGTGGTAGAAGTGCTGAACCCGGATGAGGATTAGGTGTGGATCCACGATGACATATCTTGCTCCTCCCTACTTTTCTCCGGAAAAAGTACCACAGAGTGAAATTAGGTTTCTTTCTTCACATCCCATTTCCTTACTCGGAAATCTATAGGATGATTCCGGTGAGGGAGGAGACTCTCCAGGCCTTGCTCAATTGCTATTTGGTAGGGTTCCATACATTCGATTACGCCCGCCATTTCTTGTCCTGCTGTATCGGAATGTTGGGACTAGATTACGAGTTGAAGAGAGGGTATATCGGATTGGAGTATTTTGGGTGAACTGTGAGTATCAAAATCCTGCAGGTGGCGATTCACATGGGCCAACTGGAATCGCATCTGAACGGCGGGGTGATTGTGGAGAAGGTGAAGGAGCTGAAAGAGGTTCAAAGGGAAGACTTTGATTGTTGGGGTTGACGATTTGGATATCTTCAAAGGGACCAGCCTTAAGTTTCTGGCAATGGGGAGATTGCTAGATCATAATCCGGATTTGAGAAGCAGCATGGTGCTGGTCCAGATTTTCAATCTGGGAGGGAGAAAGGGAAAGATGTGAGAGGACGAGACCTTGTCAGTGGCGAATTCGGTGAATCTAACAACAGGTATGCTTTGGAAACCCTAAACTTGTATTCTCATTGATTCAGTTTGATCTTATACACATGGTTTGTTCATTACAGGACAAATGTCTATAGCTGTAATTGACAGAGAAGAAGTACGAAATGCAGAACAAGGAGGGAATAGAGATTGAGCAAATGAAAGAGACGTTGTGGCCTCAGGGCACAACGACGACGTCTTGGTCTTTCAGCTACGGCAACGTTCTTTCAGCTACGACAGCGTTTCGACTATCTTCAAGCCCTTTAGTTGAGACGGCATCATTCCAGGTGACTCTTGCTTCGCTTTGTGACACGCTAAAACACAACACCAAACGGCGACCAAGTGTAATCGCAATCCGGAAATGCAGTACAGGCAAGCTCTAATTGTCAACCCGGAGTCTAGATTTACTGCCTACTCCGTGAATATCTATTATCTAGCAAACTAAGTCGAGTGATTGTGATTTTAAGCAAAAACAGTAAAAAAGCAGGAAATGGTTCGGTTTTCTAAAGCAAGGGAAGAGTCACTTGGGAATGAGTCCCCCTAGCTTCTTAGTTAGGTCACAGTTGTAATTACCCTGGGTTGATTAACTGTTGATTAAACTGCGGAAGATCCGACAGTAGCTTGCAATCTCTTAAGCTGACCAAGCCCTCTCAGTCCAACTACCCGGCAGACGACTAGTCCTCACCGGGATAGAAAGTTGAGGCTATGAACACAGAACTCCAGTACTGGAATTGGATTCTAGTACAAAACAGTAAATCGATTAACTCTCGTATAATCAATCTACCACTACTGATTGATGAAGCTCTAACAACCTAATCAGATTCTATCTATCTCAGGTTGCAGCAGAAATCAAGAAAAGATGATCAGACTTCAATTGACTCAATGAATCGTGCATCAATCGATTAGAATCAAACAGTATAACATTCTCAAGTCATTACAATCAAGATCCCTAATACATGGAACTAGAGTTCTTCATACCCAAGTGAGAGAAAGTTCTACTCCATAGAGAGAGGGAGGAAAACAGAAATCAGAGTAGTCATACTCACAAAGATGAGGAAAATCTGCTCTGGGATGTCAATCTTCACTCCTGGGGATGCAATATGGGCTTCAATGGTGAGAAATACACTCCAAATAGCTCCTAGGGTTTGTTTTTTGCACTTTCTCTCTCTAAAACTCTGTTTTTGCTCTAAAAAGTCGACCCCCTCTCCTTTGGCTCGAATCTGCCTCAAAAACCCGATTCTAGGCAAAATACGGGCTGAATTACGGTCGTAATCATGGTCTACCCGTAAATCACCCAAAACGCGCGTTTCACTTAACTCAGAAGAAGGGAATCACGGTCGTAATCACCCAATTACTGCCAGTAATTGAGCAATTACGATCGTAAATGCTTTTACTCTTGCCCGTAATTTGTTTTGCGACATGAATTTTCAGGTATTTGGTTCAGCATTGCATTTACGGGCATGACAGAAGCAATTACGCCCGTAAATGGGCACGGGCTGCCCGTAATTTGCATCTTGAATCGCCAACTGACCTCCAAATGACCCGAAACTTGCGCTTATGCACCTTTTTACTTGCTAGGACCAGAAATACGACAAAACAACACAACCTAGCATAAAATAGGCCAAGGAACAATAAATTCGAGCTAAAATGGTCAGGAAACAAGAGTGAAAATATGTGCAAATACGACGCTGTCAAATTCCCCCACACTTAACCGTTTGCTTGTCCCCAAGCAAACCAAATCAGATACAAGGTAAGCTCGAAACATCTCAATCATGCAACCCTTCAGGACATATCACATAGGTATGAAACACGGGAATCATACTGGCTTTCAAACATCAACACATGAACAACTTCAATAGCAACCTGGACAACCACCACAGAGGACATTCGAGTGCAGAAAAATTGGGTAAAGGAGGAGTCTCCCTTCTGTTCATCAACCAACATAGACTTGACTCAACCACTTACTCAAGACAGTCACCTCATGCACAAAACTCAAGATATCAGAATTAAGACCGAGCAATCTAGGTCATCACCGGGGTAAAGAGTATAGATAATATGAGAAAATGAATCGCTCACTCTCGACTAGTTGGGTCAGGACTATTTGATGCGAAAAATGCGCATGCTTATTCTCTCAATCCCTAACATCTCTTCACCATGAAGGCAACCTCTAAATGCTAGAGTTCACATATGGGGTGTCACCACTAACTAATCCGGAGGTCTTAGACACAGGTTCAGATGACTGGCTAGGGTCTTGGACATGGGGAAAATGCATTTTTGGTGGTGGAAGTATTCATAGCACAAGGTTCCACAGTTCCAAACCCACCACAATCACAGCCAATCAACCCACTTACTTTCTTTCTGCCATTCTGCATTACTCAAATTCTTTAGATCACAAGAGCGAAGGAGGTCACAAAAATGTTAGTATTTCCAGGTCAGACTGCTAAGAAACACTAATTAATGAGCATGATTCAACTTTTTGGTAGTGGCTCTCTTTTGTTTTTATTCTTTTTTTTTTCATTTCTTGAGAGAACCACCACCTCTGCACATTTTTCAAACACATGCCCAATTCTTAAGCATTACCTCCAACACTCGCATTATTTTTAGCAGAAACAGCAGAGAACATACAAAAACCACTCCGTGGAACCTATTAAGAGATGAACAAGGGTGATTTTCCATTACAAACCGAAAGAAAGAAAGTGACACCGCTCAAAGGGGCTGACTAGGGGGTATGACACACTAGGACATTCAGTTTGGTCGTGGGCTAATCCTATGCCTCCATCATCTTAGCTAATGACAACGTGAATGCTACACATCATGGAAGAGGGAACTATCGAACAAGAAAGAAACGAGCAGGCTAAAATCTCACATGGCTACCTATATGCTCTATCTCTCATTCTGATTCCCTGAACTAAATGCATAAACGACTGTCACGAAGAAGTGATCAATCCAAGTCACAATTGGTAAGCAAACAGTTGAAAAACTGAACCCCTACACAATTCTACTACACGTCTCAGTCATCATAATAGGCTGTCCTAGTCACACTCCAGTTGTCATGCATTAAGTCGAAAGCCATTCAATTCACCGAGGCCTAGCTTTTTAAACAGTTTATATGGCATGACATTTATGCTAGCGCCTGAATCCGACAAGGATTTCCCTATATGCAAACTACCAATCATGCAAGGGATAGTAAAACTCCCTGGGTCTTTTCGCTTATCTGGTAGTTTGTTCTGCAGGATAGCAGAACACTCCTCGTTGAGCATCACCGTTGATAGCTCCCCAAGCTTCCTCTTGTTGGTGAGGAGGTCCTTCATGAACTTGGCATACTTGGGCATATTCGATAATGCCTCCACGAAGGGCATGCTTATGTTTACCAACTTCAGCATTGCCATAAAAGTGGCAAACTCAGTCTCCAGTCGGTCTCTGTGCAACCGAGTAGGAAAGTGAAGCTGCGGTACATACTCCTTCACCACTGGTTGCGGTATAGGAGCAGGCACCTCAACCTCCTTCTCCATTTCCTCCTCATTAGCTGGAAGTGCTGAAGCAGGGGTCTCTCTCTCTCTCTCTCTCTCTCTCTCTCTTGTACCCGAACAGGTGGATCAGCAGTCATCTTGCCACTCCTGGTAGTGATGGCCTTGCAATGCTCATTTGGGTCCTGTGGATGAGGGAGGGTCTGGCCGGGTACTGTACCAGGAGTCCTCTGAGCTACAGCCTGGGCCACACTCCCAAGCTGGGTCTGGATGTCCCACAGCACAGCCTGCGTGTTTCTCTGGCCAGCTTCTAGCTCCAACAATTTACCTGAAGCTTTCTCCATGAACTGCTCGATATTATTGAACTTGTTTGCACTGGAGTTGGCCAGAGAACCCACCAGATCTCGCAATTCGGCCATCGGGTCACTCTGTACTGGGGCTGCGGGTGCTGCCCTTGACTGATGAAATGGCCGCACCTGTGACTGAGGTGGAACTGGCCCCTGTCTAGGCGGGTAGAGAGGCTGCTGCTGCTGCTGAAATTGCCCTTATCTAGGATGGTAAGGAGGCCTCTGGAAGCCTGGTGGTCCCTGGGGGACTGGTAGTCTAGAATTGGCCCCAACCAAGGAGAAGTTGGGATGTTGGCGCTACCCCTCGTTGTAAGTGTTGCTGTAGGGGTCGAAGCGTCTGGCATTGCCGATGAAGTCCACCTGCTCCTGGGGAGTAGACGACTCCCTCATCGCCTGACAGTCCTCCACAGTGTGATGGGAGCTCTCACACCACTAGCAGTGCATCGCCTGCTGCTATCATGTACCTTAAATCATTCCAGATCGATCGATGGCTTAAACCAGCTTCGATACCACTTGCACCAAATCAGATGACTGGGTGGCTACAACATGCACACCCCACCCTGGTGCTCGTCTCGATCTCCTCGTCGTTCCCCAATCATAGCCTTGCTCTGCCATCTCTTCAAAAAGTTTATTCAGCTGTGGCGGTGTCTTGGTGAGCATATTCTCGCCACAAACCGAGTCAATCAGCTGCTTGTCTTCCGGGAAGAGGGCATGGTAGAAGGTGCCCACCTTGAAGGCGTCGGTAAAACCATGGTTGGGACACTTGAGGAAAAGACTGGTGAATCTTTCCCAAGCATCCCGGATGGTCTCATCTTCATCCTAAGCAAAGTGGGTAATTTGCTTCTTCAGGTCCGCCGTCTTGGACGGGGGATGGTAGCGAGTGAGGAACTTGTCCGCCAGGTTGGCGAACGTGGAGATCGATCTAGGGGGCCTGGTGTCCAGACACTCCATGGCCTGCCCCTCCAAAGTGAATGGGAAGTACCTCAGCTGGATGGCATCGGCTGGGACCCCATTTATCTTGATTCAAACGATGAGCTCGTGGAATCGCCTCAGATGTGATCGGGGGCACTCCCCCTCTTTTGCCACGGAATACTACCGAGCCACGCAACATAGTAATGACCGAGGTGCTCACCTCAAAGTTGTTGGCTGGGACTTGAGGGTGCTGAATGGGCGACCTCATGTCCGCGGCTCTGGCGGTCTAGTAGTACCCCATGGTTTGCTCCTTTGGAAGGACCACATCATGGTCCTGTGGGTCACCCATCTTTTCTTCCTCGGCAATTTACAGCTGTGCTAGAGCCTCCTCCACAGCCAGTCGTGCATTTAGAGCCCACTTGAAGTTCCTACAGGTTCGTTCAAACTCTTGGTCTAATGGTAGTAGATCTCCCAACTGGCTACGGGTCATGCACTACCTGCACACAATCAGCAAAAGCAACCCGTGAAGGCACACAGGTGGAAGAGAGAAAATGCAGTAAAGAAAAATCTAGAGTAACAAACTTTCACGTTTCCCCAATAACCTAGAGGGTCTCAGGCAACGGCGCAAAAACATGACACGCTAAAACACAACACCAAACAGAGACCAAGTGTAATCGCAGTCCGGAAATGCAGTAACATGCAAGCTCTAATTGTCAACTCGGGGTCTAGATCTACTGCCTACTTCGTGAATATCTACAATCTAGCAAACGTAAGTCGAGTGATTGTGATTTAAGCAAAAGCAGTAAGAAAGCAGGAAATGGTTCGATTTTCTAAAGCAAGGGAAGAGTCACTCGGGAATGAGTCCCCTAGCTCCTTAGTTAGGTCACAGTTGTAATTACCCTGGGTTGATTAACTGTTGATTAAAATGCGGAAGATCCGACAGTAGCTTGGAATCTCGTAAGCTGACCAAGTCCTCTCAGTCCAACTACCTAGCAGACGACTAGTCCTCACCGGGATAGAAAGCTGAGGCTATGAACACAGAACTCCACTACTGGAATTGGATTCCAGTACAAAGTATTAAATCGATTAACTCTCGTATAATCAATCTACCACTACCGATTGATGAAGCTCTAACAACCTAATCAGATTCTATCTGTCTCAGGTTGCAGCAGAAATCAAGAGAAGATGATCAGACTTCAATTGACTCAATAAATCATGCATCAATCGATTAAAATCAAACAGTATAACAATCCCAAGTCATTAGAATCAAGATCCCTAACACATGGAACTAGGGTTCTTCATACCCAAGTGAGAGAAAGTTCTACTCCATAGAGAGAGAGAGAGAGGAAAACAGAAATCAGAGTAGTCATACTGATAAAGATGAGGAAAATCTGCTCTGGGATGTCAATCTTCACTCCTGGGGATGCAATCTAGGCTTCAATGGTGAGAAATCCACTCCATATAGCTCATAGGGTTTGTTCTGGGCACTTTCTCTCTCTAAAACTCTGTTTTTGCTCCAAAAAGTCGACCCCTTCTCCTTTGGCTCAAATCTGCAGCAAAAACCCTATTTTGGGCAAAATACGGGCTGAATTACGGTCGTAATCATGGTATGCCCGTAATTCACCCAAAACGCGCGTTTCACTTAACTCAGAAGAATGGAATTATGGTCGTAATCACCCAATTACTGCCAGTATTTGAGCCAGTACGACCGTAAATGCTTTTACTCTTGCCCGTAATTTGTTCCGCGATATGAATTTTCAGGTATTTGGCTCGGCATTGCATTTACATGCATGACAGAAGCAATTACGCCCGTAAATGGGCAGGGGCTGCCCGTAATTTGCATCTTGAATCGCCAACTGACCTCCAAATGACCCGAAACTTGCGCCTATGCACCTCTTTACTTGATAGGACCTGAAATACGACAAAACAACACAACCTAGCGTAAAATAGGCCAAGGAACAACAAATTCGAGCTAAAATGGTCATGAAACAAGAGTGAAAACATGTGCATATACGACGCTATCACTTTGCCTGAAATGACATCGGACCAGCTACTCCCGCTGTTAGCCGTTTAAGTCGCGGATGAAAATTTTGAATTTTTATCCGATACCCCCCGCAAGCTGGTGGGCAGAGATTATGCACAACAAGCTTGGAGAGGAGATTGGAGAAGGTGGTAGGAGGTAGGGCCTTTGTGAAAATGTCGGCCAATTGGTGTAGTGAGTTGACATGGAGCAGCTTGATGATTCCAACATGCAATTTTTCCCTTACCAGGTGACAATCCAGTTCTATGTGCTTTGTTCTTTCATGAAATGTTGGATGAGTTTGAGTTCATAGAAGATCCTCTGGATGATAAACCTGGTGGCCAGCCATGTTTGTGGTGGCCTGGAGTATTGCAGAAAGTGCAATGAGGGCGTTTGAAATTTGGAAAAGGGCGTTTGGGACCCTGAGCAGCAAAGGCTGAACCTTCAGAAGTGATGGTTTTGCCTTGTTGAGTGCCATACAGTTGCGTTCATGTTGTAAAGCCCTCTGAAAGACCCTATCAATTGGAGGTAGAGTGTCTCCAAATAGCACTTGAGACCGGACAGTGGCATAATTATCATTGAGACCACAAAGAAACTGGACAATAGAGTTGACATCACGATAGCTCATAACAGCATTCAGAGCAGCACAGTCAACAGAACTAGTTTCTGTGCAACGACATGGATTGATAGGCTGATAGTTGTCAAGCTCATCTTGAAGAGCAATAAGATTGCCATAATATTCACTCACTATTTGGTTACCTTGTTTGATGGTGCCAATGGACTCTATGAGTTCAGCAACGCGGATCATGTCACCTTGACCATAGCGAGCTTTGAGGCTATTCCATGCTTCTGATGCGAGCTTGGAAGACCTAATGGTTTTCTTGATGCCATGATCAAGAGCTTGTTGAATCCAACTGAGGACCATGATGTTGTTTCGACTCCGGGAAGAGAATAGAGGATCTGTTGGATCTGGGTAAGGGATGGTGCCATTGATGAAGCCAAGCTTGTTCTTGGCGGCCAGAATATTGAGCATTGCTTTGCTCCAGTCATTATAATTGGTGGTGGTCAGCTTCTCACCTACCAGAAGAAGTCCAGGTTGCTCAGAACCATGGAGATAAAAAGGATCGCCGGTGGAATCTTGTTTTTGTGGTGTTGCCATTGTAGAGCGGCGGCTAGGGTTGCTCTGATACCACAACAACAGGTATGCTTTGGAAACCCTAAACTTGTATTCTTATCGACTCACTTTGATCTTATATACATGGTTGTTCATTACAGGACAAATGTTTGTAGCTGTAATTGACAAAGAAGAAGTACGAAATGCAGAACAAGGAGGGAACAGAGACTGAGCAAATGAAAGAGACGTTGTGGCCTCAGGGCACAATGTCGACGTCTTGGTCTTTCAGCTACGGCAGTGTTCTTTTCAGCTACGACAGTGTTTTCGACGATCTTCAAGCCCTTTAGTTGAGACGGCATTGTTCCAGGTGACTCTCGCTTCACTTTGCCTGAAACGACATCGGACCAGCTACTCTCGCTGTTAGCCGTTGAAGTGGCGGATGAAAATTTTGAATTTTTCTCTGATAGAATCAGAGGTTTGGGGGAGCAGTAGAGGGTTAAAGTCCAATTGTGTTCATCAATGGCGGAGTCCTAACGACTCTAGAGGAAGCTTCTTACTACGCCATCGCGAAATGCTGCGTGGTGAACCGCAAATGGAGTCGCTCTACCATGAAGGCTTTTTGTATCATACTAGACAGCCGTTGTGTCCTCAAGCCCCCAATCCTACTATTGAATTCAACATTTTCAGGAACACCAAGGTTCAAGTACTTCACTCTTCATTCTCCGATTTCTTCATCTAATATAAATGTTATGGGATGGGACATCTGATTCACATTTGGGTTGGTGTTGCATTCTTGCTGTTGTTTCATTGATTCACATCTTATTCACATCGGTTCTCATTGTTCGCTTGAGCTTGACGTTTACTTTGGTTGGCTATTCTTCCATTATCTTCCTTCCTTCATGCAATGATTATAATGAATTCTAAACTAATGTCTTCTGTTATCTGGGAATTTCAGTTATAGGCCTGTGCGGGTTTTACAGCAGGGATTTCTAGAATGGTGTGTTGGGTTCAAGAACCTCACTGCTCTGCAAATCAGCTATAGTTTTTTTGCATTCAATTTATTCCTCTATTACCACTCATGATCACCTGGGATTGGGTTCTCAATTCGGCAGCTGTGTTGTTCTCTTCTTCTGCAGTTGATGGATAGGTCTGTGTCGGTTTACAACAAGGAGTTCTAGACGGGTGTGTTGGGTTCGAGGACCTCCATGATCTGTGAATTATTTATAGGTTTGTTTCATTTGATGTATTCCTCAATTTTCACTTATGACCACCTGGGGTTAGGTTCTCAATTCGGCCGTTGTGTTGCTCTCTTCTTCTGTAGGGGATGGATCAGTTTTGTTTGTTTCAAAGCTAGCGCTACCTCTGTTATCCCCTTCCCCTTAATACTCAGGGCTCTTACTATGCTTCTTTATCTTTTGTAAGTTGTTATTACTCTTCTATACAAAGAAAAGGGAGTGATACTTGAGCTATATGGCTTGCAACCTTAGTTAGGATTGCCCGCCGATGGCTCATGGGCCTTCGGCCCATGAAACAATAATATTTGTTTGCAATGAATGGAGATTAGTTTAGGTGGTTCGGATATGTATAGTTGGTATTAGTCTGCGATGGTCAGATATTAATCTGTTCGTCGTGGGTATTTGTCTACGATGGTTAGATATTAATATGTTTGTCGTGGGTATTTGTCGTGGGTATTTGCTGTGTGGACGTTATAGTGTACTGATAATGGAGACCCACCCATCAATGTACCCAACGATATTGGTAAACAATTACTTCATAGAACAATGGATTTTTTTGTCTTGTATCAACTGGAAATCAGGTTTTTAATTAATAATTTTGTATTGTTATTCAGGGGATAGTTAGTTGTGCGGAACTGCGGATAATGTGAATAATGCATGAGGACATAATTTATAGTTTGCTAAAGCTTATTCATGTGACAATTCCTTCCTGTATATATCTAGGATAGAATATATATCCTTCATCCTTGTCCTCCATCCGATTTTGAGCAATTCAATGATTTAAAAAGTGGCAATTAGTTCACCTAATTGTTAACCCTAAGTCATTTGTACCTGCATAATCCCCCAGCCTATTTACCTCAATCAGGAAGTTTGTTTTGTGCATAAATTTGGAGCCATTTTCATAGCTCTTTGAAACCTCAGCTCTTACTCTTTCTAGAGTTTACCGCGGTAATGTAATTTTTTGTTGTTGTATACTAGAAAATCCATTGTTGTTGCTGCCGTGTGTTTTGTTCATCAATTTATGAATTATGGCTTATATAGTTATTGTTTTTCTTACAACGAATCATTGATTTGGTAGATAGAAGCGGACTATAATGACTGGATAATTAACCCTCAATCCACTTACTAGATTGGGCCAAGGGGCTAAACCTGGTTGACAAGTTTTGATAGTTTTGAAATCCGAATATACAATTTTTGGGTTCCAATTTTGATGATTGAGTCAAATCGATAAAAAAATTGAGGACTTTCAAAGAGTTCGATTGAAATTCAAATGTCGGCCTCAAAGTTTCTTTCGTGACATACAAGTTTTTAAGGTTAATTGTTGTTTGGTCAGAGGAAGAGAAACTGGAACGGATGGAGGATGGGATTGCGGCTATTAATTATTGGGATTTGAAGACAGAAGATAATCCATAAAGAGGGTTAAATTTAATTTGTCATTTGATATCGGTCCAACCGTGATTCGACCATGCTTGATATATTTTATTGGAAATTGTAACAAAGGACAAGTTTGATAATACATATATATTATATAGGACGATGACATGTTTTATGTGGAAAATAGTAGAGGGATAAATTTGAGAAAAATGAATAATAGAGTGGCAATTTATGCTATTAACTCAACATGAAAAGTTAAAGATCGTATTGGTAGAGTAGAATTTAGGATTTTATAATGTTTGAATTTTTTTTGCGCATTAGTATCTAACACTTAACATAGGGCTGGCTATTTGGTCCGGGCTGTTTGATTTTATCCGAAACCGGACCATATAACCCGGAACGGGACCGGAACCGAAATAGGTTAGCAAACAATTCAATCCAACCTTCAGGCTTAGATTTGAGATAAAAAAACCATTTGGGACCGGATCGAAAATTTGATAAAGACCGGATAAGATAGTCCAACACCGAAAACTTAACCAACTCCTCACCCTTTCAGTTTTCAGGCCACTCAAATCCCCACAGGCTCAATCTAAAATCAAGACCAAATTGGGCGCAGCCCGGGTCAAGACCGCACCGAATCAAGACCGGACTGTATCCAATCCAATATTTGGTCCTTATATTCCCAAAAAGACTGGATCAATTCGGGCCAATTTAACTGGACCGGACCGTGTAGCCACCCCTAACTTAACAGCTCCCACTTATTATTCAAACAAGTCTATATACTAAATTATAATAATATTTTCCTTATTCTCTTGATTTTTTTTTATATACCTTCAACTCCTATCAATTCTAAATGACATTTATTTCCTTTCAACTCCGAATTCATATCAGACAACAAGAAATGCAAAAATGTCTTCTAAGATAGGGAAAAGAACACATACACAACAGGAAACTAGGAGGAATTTATAAAAAAATACATACGAACTAATTATCGCTAATTTTATAATCAACAAATACCATAAATATTACTTTGAAATAAAAGAATTAACTATTTTAGAAAATCCCAAATTATTGAAATATAAAAAAATAATCAAAATAAAATCCATCCGACCAACAATGGAGTAAAAGCTAGTATGTATATATAATCTCTTGTTTTGTGGTTGGGTATGCTATTAGGTGGAAGTAAGCCTAATTAAATGACACCATTTATCTTAACCCTTCAATTGAGATTGAGTTGGTTATAAATGATTGATAAATTGTTATGGTATTAAACGTGCCTATATTATTTATTAAAAGGAAAGGAGCGAGTCGAGGAATCATCAAGAGGCAAGGGTATAGCTGAATAACAATCATAGTGTGAGTAAATTCTAACCTAGTACCATAATTAATACGAGCATGGTATTTGGGTCATGAAGCGGCCCAAACCTGAGGTAGCGAATTTAATTATAGTAAAGTGCGGTTGCATGTGTGATAGAGTATGTGTTAATGATGATATCATATGATGATGATATTGTGTGATTTCAATGTGGATAATGATAAGAATGTTGATGAGACGAGTATAAAGAGGCACGGAAGGCCTCTGTGATGATGATAACGATGATGATGAAGTCAATGATGTTGTTATTGATAATAGCGATGCATGTGATGTGGATGATGGTTACAGTTATGATATGAGATGATATGAATGTGTGTTTCTTTGTGTGTGTGTTTGGTCAAGCACCCGGAGAAAATGATGATGTGATAAGTCCTCAGTAAGGACGTTGTGTATATATTCGACTATGTGCCAATTGCCCGGGCTATGGGAGGAAGCCACCGATGCTTTAGGTCGGCGGAGGTGGTGGAGCCTAAGCATGGAGGAGGAGGTAGAGGAGGAGGAGGAGGGAAATAAGATGATGGTGCATGGCTAATCCGGAATGAGTGATGGATGCTTGTATGTGCATATGCTTGTGAATCGTTTTATGTGTGTGTGTGTGTGTGTGTGTGTGTGTGTGTGTGTGTGTGTGGCGAATGTTTATAGAGGTACTAGTATAATGATAGAAAGAAGGGAACCGTAATTGCTCAATACCTTGTTTATGTTAATTACGCTACTAGGTTAGCTTTTACTCATTGAGGTGACGTCTCACACCCGTCAAAAAATTTCCTCAGATTAGAAGTGTTGGACGATAAGTCAAGGAAACTCAGTAAGGCTCAGCTCAGCATCAATGAGGTGGGATGGTGGACTCAGACTCCGACATGACTTGTTTATAGTATTTTGAGAGAAGATGGTCTTCTCTACTGTCATGTGTTTTGTATTAAAAGGTTATGTAAATTATGGTTTGGTTTGTAAGCTAAACAAGAATGTGTACAGTTTGACAA